GTGGGATTACTGAACACATTCAGAAGTTCCTCAAGAAAAACATGGAAAAATGGGAAACTGTCTTAATGGCCCATAGTGAAGAAATGGGGGAAGTTAGCATCAAAAGAGGAATATTTCAGGAGGACCCCTTATCACATCTTCTGTTTAACATCTTACTAATTCCCATGTCAGTAATTTTAAACAAAACTGGATTGGGCTACCATATTTCACAACAAGCAGGAAAAATCCCTTCTTATATATGGATGACTTAAAACTATATGCAAAAAGTTCCATGGAGATAGAAACACTGCTAAACACAGTGCAAATATTTAGCGAAGATATCCAAATGAAATTTGGAATTGACAAATGTGCAGTTCTATCTAGGTTGGACTCAAAACAAATTTGAAGAATTGGATCACAAAACACGGAAACTGATAAACATGCATCACATACTACATCCCAAAAGTGATGTGGACAGATTATATTTACCACAAAAAAATTAGAGTCCATAGAGTCCATGGATTACAGCATGTAGTAGAGGAGGAAAAAATAAACCTAAATAATTATATCAGCCCAAACAGAGAAAAATTACTTAAGGCAGTGAAAATGGAGAATATTTTGAAAACAACAGAAACCAAAGCTCAATATAAGAAACAACAATTTGAAAATAAATTAAACAGCCGGAAAAATAAGCCACTACATAGACAACACCAGAGAAATATTGATGGAAAGCATGATCATAATTCAACATGGGCATGGCTAAAACCAGGGACCCTAAAGAAAGAAACTGAAGGCTTGATTTTTGCTGCAAAACCAATGTGATGAAAGCTAAAATCCAAGAAATTAGTGCTAAGAGATATTTAACAAATACTTTGGTTTTTAGTTAAAACTTGTACAGGTATCTGTTATATAATACCAGTCCGTGTTTTTATAATTTTGATTGATTGCGCCTGGTGTTTTTGAATAATAACAATGATAGTAATAACAGCAACATTTCTACATCCAGTAATGTTACTCTTATGTCTCTAGCAATCAAAGATCCCCCTGGACCGGCAGCAGATCTCAGAACTTGTACGGAAACTGGACCAGGCTAGAACAGGTTATGTGGACTACAGGTAAGGATTACAGCTACCGGTATTTCTATAATGCATTATATTAAGTTGTTTTACCTGCTTACCCACTTTTCTGCTTATGAATTCAGTTATTCAGTTCACAGATATATAAAGTGTATTTATTTGTTTTTATGGACATATTTATTCAGTGTTATATACATAAAATATTTCAGAAATCTTTTTACTTAAAAAAGCAGACACCAGAAAAATTATTTAATAAAATGGCAAAGACAAGCTATTAGAAAATTCCTTTTTGAACACTAGTTCTCTCCTCTCAGGGCATGACAGCTTTCACATAGACCTCTAATTTAGAGAAAGAGAGGGCACCTTAGTGGCAATACAAGAACCCAGAAAGTAGATTGCTCACTCTGTCATCCTTCACTTCCTCTGTTGTATGCCAAGAGGGCCCCTAGGTAGGCCTTTGATGGAAATTGGATACCAGGGAGGTCATCTGTTCTCTTTCTTGACTTCCAATTATAAATATTCAAGAGACAACTCCGGATCTGAAAATCTGTCAATTCCATTTTCACTCCATTTCTCAACATTCCTCTAACCTTCTCCTCCTGTCCAAGTTCTGTGTCTGGTTGCAAGGCTTCTTTTTTCCTTCTTGCACGGAACCATCTGTGTGCATCTAATGTTTGCACTTTAATGTGTCTTTCTTAAATGGGCACATTTTTTTCTTGATGCACTTTTACTTCCTTTTTTCTGTTGTTTAAAGTTCGTGTGGATTTTTCAGATATGTGCATTTTTAATTGTAAGTATACATTTCTGCAAAGAATCTGTTGCTTGTATTTGTTCCTGATGTCAGGATATGAAAAATATGCATACATTTTGATAAAAGTCTTGCAGGCCATTAACTAGATAATTTGCTTTAAAATCCTGGTTATTGTGAGTTAGTTTTTCATCTGTAGAACTAATATTAGCCAGATACAAGAGGTTTTTTAGCCAGGCTACAGAGCCACATGCTCCCATTTAAATGCTCAATATTTCTCACATTATACAAACCTCCTCTAAAAGGGTTACAAACCAGTGACTTTAATGTCCTTTTTCTGTACAGGTGTATCATATTTTGTGTATTGTACAGTCCCAGACATAGTAGGTACTATCTGCTTTAATATCCTCTTTAGTAAATGAGATTGGGGTGGTATAGAACACCTCTCTTTGAAGTAGATTTATAATTGATTATTTATTAAATTAATTAATTGATTGATTGATTGATCGATCATATTAACTTATTCAGAAGTATAGTCCATTTTATCCTAAAGACTTTTGATAGATTGCTGTAATGGGACATTTTGCTCCCATGTGAGGGGATGCATCTATTTCTTTGGAAAAGTGGATCATGAAGGACACCCCGTGTCATCCATTATGTTCAATGAAAGTAAAAACCAGCTAATAGCCCAACCAAGAAACATCTTTAATACAAAAACTGTATACTCAGTAGGGCAAGGGTTTTGCCACTTCCAGTGCAGTCTTTATTTGTCCATAAGTGATAATTGTTCACAACTAGAAAAAGAAAGGGAATTGCTCAAAAACAGAAAGTCAAACTCACCAAGCCTAATGGCCAAAGCATTTCAAAAGAAGGGCTTATATAGGGCCAACATACTTTTTCTAATGTCTTTATCCATCTAGTGCAGGCTCTTAAATTGTCTCAGGCAGCAACTACACTACACTTGATTTGCAGCTTGTTGTTGTTTAGTTGTTCAGTCATGTCCAACCCTTTGTGACCCGATGGATCAAAGCACGCCAGGCCCTCCTGTCTTCCCCTGCCTCCCGGAGTTGGGTCAAATTCATGTTGGTAGTTATGATGACACGGTCCAACCACCTCGTCCTCTGTCGTCCCCTTCTCCTCTTGCCTTCACACTTTCTCAATATCAGGGTCTTTTCCAAGGAGCCTTATCTTCTCATGAGATGGCCAAAGTATTAGAGCCTCAGCTTCAGGATCTGTCCTTCCAGTGAGCACTCAGGGTTGATTTCCTTCAGAATTGATAGGTTTGTTCTCTTTGCAGTCCAGGGGACTCTCAAGAGTCTCCTCCAGCACCACAATTCAAAAGCGTCAATTCTTTGGTGGTCAGCAGCTTGTATTATATCTGAAATTGCAATTGGTGCTCACTCAGGGGCTGCAGATTGATTCAGGAGTTCACCTTTCATACTGAATGCAATGCAAATCACATGCCAGGCCACAATCCCATTCTGGTCCTCCCTCTGAAGTTCCTTCCTTCCTCTGGTCCCACCTCTCCTGATTCTTTTATGGTTTACTGTGAAGCTGCTTTCTCATTTAAAGCTTTATATTACTACATTTCCTCAAACACTTTTCTAAAAAAATGATAATATGGAAAGGTACTTCACAGTCAAAACATCAAAAGTCTGAGTAGTAATTTTGCAAAATACATCGTAATTCACACATCAGAATGATTCCTTAACAAGGATCACTACCTGCCTTTCCCATCCATTACTCTTTTTCCCTTACTCTAAAGTAATGCTTGCACAGAAAGATGGCTGGCTGGCTATCTGAACCCATTGGAATCAAACTTGGGTTGTGAGCAGATGCTTCACTGCATTACTGCAGTTTAACCACTGTGCCATGAGGCTCCTTAAAGGTTATCTTTGGTGATTTTGGGGTGTATCTGACTGTGTGTCTGACTGACATTTTTTTACTAGTTGCTAACCACAACATTGCCTTTAGTCAGCATCAATTTGTATTTACTTAGTTGAGATTTTACTGCTGCTGCTGACATTATCACCATTTCACATGCAAAGCTGTGCAACAGGATTTCAACCTATGTGCCACATTTTTGCTGTCTTGTTCAGATTGCTTTCAACCTAATGGCCAACATGTGTTGGTTTATAGCATGTAGCTAACCTGGTTGGAGAGAACATAGCTCAGCAAATACTTGAATGGATAAGATCCCAATTTCAATCTTCAGCATCTTCAGCTAGTGTAATGAAAGGTTTCCAGACCTCGAGAGAGAGGGTTCTGATCAGTTTTGATAATGCCAGGCTACATGGAGTAATGGTCTGGCTCATTATAACAAAGCATTCTATGCTGATAATATACATCCTGTTCCTAGTGGTGGACACAGCGACAGTGGGAATTTTTGTGTATTTGTAGTTCTGATATCTCAAAAGTTCCAGGTGTGACAATGACAAAGATCCCTATAATTGTGGGTTTGAAAACAACACCTGCAAACCCTCAAGACTTGGAAGGATTTGAAGCATTTCCCAAGGGCACTCATGTTCCTTGTGTTCTTTTCAGTTACCTAACATGAGGTAAATTGGGGGTGAAGGGAAGTCACAAAACATTTCTTAATTCTAATTTTTCCCCTCTTCATCTTTCAAATTAGTCATTTTAAAATTCAGGAACCAGAAGAGAAGCCTAAGGAGGAGAAGGAAGAGGAAGAGCAGTAAGCAGGTCCAGAAGTCAGGTCAGCTGGTGACAGATGGAAGGCAGAAAGTTAAGACAGCGCATGCCTGGGGGTGGGCTGCCGATGAGCCCTGGACCTAGAGAAGCTCTCTAGTAAATCAAAGTTCTTAATATAGAACAATAAAAAGTACTGCAACACTGGCTGATTTGTGTATCTCCAAAGAAGGAGCAAAAGGATCTAAAATCTTGTACCCAGGGGCAAAAAGTATAATTTTCACCCACAGGCAGAACATTCGCTGCTGTTATATTATCATGTGGAATGATGTACATTTGATGAGTATCTATTAGCTATTCCCTTGATGTTACTAAAAGCACACAACATGATTCTCCCACTTGGGCTCCTGCCATTTTATGATCTCCCTTTCATTTTATTCATAATCATCTTCTAATATTCATGGGCAATGTCAGTCATGCTGTTGTAAAGTGACAGAATCAACTGCAGTTCTTTTCTGAAAGGATGCACATTTTGAAAGTAGATTTTTAAAAAATCAGCTCTGGGCATAATGAATGGCACAACAATCTCCCCCAGGTCTGTGCCATCTTGTGCCATCTTGCAGTTTCCTTACTTAAGCCTTCGGCAACAGTGTGCTTTCCTGCTATACAGCTGCAGTATGGGAACACTCCAAATTTTCAGTGTATACCTTGTGTATTTATTCAGATGTAAGATGTGAATTTTTTTCAGGAGACTGAATACTACAGAATGTATATAGGAAGGTGGTCTTAAATGTAAAGAGAGAACAAAGGAACTTGCTGATTCTCCCACCTGAATGTCTGTTCTTTTATGCATTTTCGATTGTGAAAACTGCATGGCATTAAAAGAAGTAGACAGTATCATGAGTAACCCCACTAAATACTGTATATGTACCATAGCAGTACTAAACTAAGCTTTATTAGTTAATCTGGTTGCTGAGGCCTGTATTTCTGAGGAACCCTGCTGTGGGAGGGAAAGTTGGTTCATTGTAAGGACATATGCATTTTCCTTAATGTCTAGTTTAGCCTTTAGTAGCTCTCCTCTTCACAGACATTGTACATGCCATACTAGTATGGTATCAAGAGATGAGGCCCACAGAAAATCAAGACTCTGAAAAACTCAAAGAAGCATCTTAAATAATGCAAAAATATGTTTATTCAGAGGAAAAGCAAACAGAACATACAACATGAGCATGTAAGAAAAAAAATCCCACCAGAATAGCATGCTGACTCTGACATAAGTGGCAATAGAAATCACTTTGTTGGAGTTGGTTTCCATAGTTACAGATGAAGTTGCTGTTTTGTTAGTAGACCAGCTTCATACATGCAAGTATCAGAGCCCAGGTGAAGAGGACTGTGCTTATTTCAAACATTGCTGTTTAGCTTGCACCAGCCTGCTCCAAAACGGTTGTGTGGACAAGCCCTGTAGCTATTAATAATGCAACCTAACTCAGAAAATGCCCTAGCTGTAGGAGAAGGGGAACAGGGAGAAATTCCATTTTGCCAGCAGAACTGCCCTTGTGGCACAGAACGCCCTCCTGAGAACAAATGTCAATGATCTGATGGAGAGGTATATGCCAACAAAACTGCCCTGCCAGCCAAAAGGGCACAAAGCATGGGAGGAGGTGAATTATGTCAGACTTGGGCCTCCTCTCACCCAAGGATACAGACATGATGCCAGCACAAAATCAGGCCAAGATGTGGGTGGTCTTAAATGATTTCCAGCTTCCCTTGGCTGCAAGGGGGTTGGGTTTAGCACAGATCAGTCATCCTGGCTAATCAGATTCCACTCTCAGTACCTTTCGAATATTTATTTATTTATTTATTTTTTATGCCTTTCAAATAGGAAAGAGCCCACCCCTCTTTCAAGATGTAGCACCAAAAATATATATATATATATGACAGTTATTCAGAACTGGAACTGGAGTTCTCCCTGCTTCTGGTTTCATTTTTTCCACAATTTTATTTTATGTGGCCCTCAGAGGATTCCAGGGCAGAAAACTGGACTTTGGCCCTGCTGAAGTCGGTCCCCTCTGCTTCAACTGCTGGATAGCTCCGTGGTTTAGGTAGAGGTTGGGAGTTCAGTTCCCCACTGTGTTTCCTTGATGGGGACTGGATTCCATGATCCATAGGGCCCCTTCCAGCACTGCAGTTGTAAGATTATTAAACTACACACCAGCAAGTAATCACTTATAAAGACAGGAAGGGGGGGGACTCAGCTCGGTCTGCCTGGCTGTCTTTCTCTCTTGCTACAAAGATAGGTGCTGAAATTCCAATATTTTGAAACAAAAGGTCTCTTCATTTGCCAGCTTAGAGTACAGGAATACCATCATTTCTGGGACTAATTGCTACAATATATGGGGTGACACGTGGTACTGGCTCAGTTAGCTTTAAACAAATCTGTGGACAATGGTTCTATCAGTGATTATTTGTGAGCTAAACAGAATCTCCAGATTCAAGAGTAATAGGCCACTGTCTACCAGCTGTTGACGGAGCAACAGTGTCAGAAGACACAGAGCATTTGACATGTCCATTTGGGAGATGATATGCTGGACTTAATGGCTTTGGCATCTGATCCAGTGGGGCTGTTCTTGTATTCTTAAGTAGACCTCAAATAGTTTCTTTTCCAGGAGAAGAGAAGCTACTTTTCTCCCTTCCTATTCCACTTCTGAGATTTAGTCGCTCCTGTTATTTGTTTGCATCACCAGTCCTACACATGAGACAAAACCTTCTATAGGATAGGACTGATTTCCTCCAGGTAAAGCAATAGGAATGCCTTAGGGGTAAAGCACCTGCTTTGTGCATAGAGGGATCCATATTTAGTCTTTGACATCTTCAGGTGAGGCCATGACTTCTGCTTTAAACCCCAGACAGCTACTGCTAGTTAGCACTGATGGTGCAGGGATAAATGAACAATACACAACAAACAGTTCTCTGTATTCATAAATATGGGACAGTTTTGTTGCCTGGAAAAGGAGAACATTCGAAACATTATCACAAAAGTCAGACAACAGAAGAGTTCCATGCCATGGGGTGGCAGACCCTATACTGCTTCCAAACAATCTCATCATTATCATCACCATAACCATTATTATTTTACAAAAGAGGATGTTTGATAGATATGCCTTTTTTTATCCAGAATATTCTGTTCATTTACTGTGTCTACCAGTATTTTACAAAAAAGGATGTTTGATAGATATGCCTTTTTTATTCAGAATATTCTGTTCATTTACTGTGTCTACCATTTGTCAAAACCTCTGTCTGTCCTTATCTACCTGCCTGCCAAAATATCTATCTATCTAAGCTCTCTAACATGTCTATCCACCCCTGTAACCCACTCCCACAATTTGGTAGTAGTGACTCACTATTGGAAGACCACAGCCCTAGTGGACAAAGCTGAATGATCTTGGACTACAGGCCTTCAGCTTCACAATGTTCTATTTGTCACCTGCCTATCCTCTCTCTGTTGCTTCACAGAGGCTTAGTGGATACACGGAACCAGATGGTACGTGACCAGCGACGTCAGTTAAAACTGGAGGAGTCACGGCAGAAGAAGGAGAAGCACAAGAATGAGCGTGTGCTGGAGACCTTCAAGAGTGCTGTGGAAGTGGTCACACCACACAGCTCTATAGTGATATCACCTAGCCAGAAATCAATGGCACAGACAGAGTATGAAAGCCCTCCTCCCATCCATTTCTCAACGACACCTGTGAGCTCATGGTATTGCCCAGCTACGACTGGTGTGTCCACCAGTAGCCAGCACTCACCTGGTCAAACTCCATCCTCCAACAACCCCATCTCCCAGAGTGAATCTGTCTCGAGGGGTATGCCAAACTCTGATCTGGAAATGAAGTTTTACTCTGAAGCCAACCTAAGTTTTTCAGAAGCAGCAGTTCACTCCCATTACAACATGGCAGCCTCAGCCCTAGAAACAGACTCCAATACTCAACAAAGTCTCATGGCTAAATCCTACAGGGTCATGTCTGTAGGGAGCAAAAATTTGACTCGGAGGCCTCATTACCAACTGACACAAGAGCATAACCTTATTGTCTCAATGCAACAAAGACTCAGATTGAAAATTGCAAAGAAGAACAGATAACTAAGTCAAGAATTGCTGCAATGTCATTAGTAATTGAGTAGGAAATGTCCAAAGGTTACCCAGCCTAGGGTAAATCTGCTTGATTACAAGTTCCCATAGTTGTTCTGCTGCACATAGGCATGACTTCCTTAACTAGCTACTAAAATCTCCAGATTTATTATCTAGGTGGGATGAAATTTTACCTAGCACATAAAGCTGTGTTAGGCAACAGTGGCCATCCAGATATTGTTGGACTACATCTCCCTCAAACATGCTGGTTTAAGGCTAATAGGAGTTGTAGTGAACAACCAACAGAATTCCTGCAGCTCGTATTCTTCACTTCTGACATCAAAAATAATGAGATTTTATTTTCACGTATGCACTGTAGAAGGAAATGTAAAGTCATTGGCATCAAGCATAGGAGCAGCCTTCTGTCCATGTTGCCAGTGAAACTGCAAGAGTTGACTGTATAACCTCATTTATGTGAAATCTATCCAGACCCATGCAAATGGTTGGATATGTATCTCTTGAAATTGTTGAGATGTGTGGTATATCATTACACATGGCAAATTGCCTGTGACTAGCTTTGTCTCTTGTGTCACCATGGATCATTGTGAGTGCCCTCACCTTGCTCAGGATGGAGAAGGCAGGGAGACATTCCTCAGCCGTGAATTACTTAGAGTTGAGACTTTCAGTGCTGCTGGAACTGACTTTATCCAAGCTGGTGAATGGGGTTCAAGGAAAGGTTGGGTGCCTGGTGCCACATTGGGATAGTTTGCAAGGAGACCGTTAGCATTTCTAGTCCTCCACAAAGTCCAGTTCTCATCCAAGGCCAAGTTCCCCCCACTGGGCTGATGCAGTCCATAGTCAGTGTCTTGATCTGGGTCTTCTAGACCAGGGGTCCCCAAACCCCAGTCCACAACCTGGCAGTGGCCCGCAGCCTAGGCAGTACTGGGCCATGGACACAAATCTCCTGCCTCCTGCGAGTGCCCCCTGTGAGCGTGCCGTGCGCATGCGTGCGAGCAACCTGCCTGCAAGTGCTGCTGTGTGCATGTGTGTGAGCGTGCTCCACCCCCCTGCAGGTT